TTCCAGAAGCTCTTATGCCAAAAGCAGTATATGCATAGTCACAGCGAAAAGCATGGAAATACTTTTTTCTCTATAATCAATATCTGCCAATTTGCATATACTCAAAATAGTAAAGTTCATACCTACCATCATTTCGAATAGAAAGCCAATTTGATTAAATTCATGCTGCCATATTTACATGTGACAGCTCTGCTTGAAGCAAATTACAATTGAAATTCCATAGGTATTTTACTATTACTGAAATCACAAGACCTACACAGCTCACAAAATGCAAATGTAAACATTTAAGTGACTGATAATTGACGTAGCTGTTTCAGAGATTTCATTTGGCTACGTAGCGAGAAATTCGTTAAATCCATGATAAAGCAATAATGGATATAAGGCTTAAAACAACTCTTCTTCTCGTTATAAACAATTTATTTCCAAAGCGTGTCTCAACGAAAATAATAGTCGTGCGTTTTGCAAAAAGCTATAACTGGCTTGCTGACCCATAAAACCAAGCTGGGTGCTGCTCTTTTCCAACTATCACAGAAAACATCGAGCTATCATTTGTGCAATGTTTGTGCTCTCATAGTGATCTCCATATATTTCATTTTTAGCTATATTTCTCTCACCTTCAAATGCTTCTCAACATTGCATTAGCGCGGAATGCCAAACACCGCCTGAGTTGGTAGACGCCGTGCATTCTAAATGCATAAGAAAATGTTAAGAATGCTGGAGCGCATTCATTGGAAGAAATTCGGGCTGACCTGTCTGTCTTGCTCAAAAATTTTACAAACTGTGCTTCAAACCGCGCCCCTCTGAACCACTCAGAATATCCGCAAAATACTTCCGGGGGAAACCGAACTTCTAAAACTTCTGGGGGGACACTCTTATTGGAGCTGCCAGATAGGGCGTGGCCAGGTAGAGCGGGGCCCACCCACACGGCCCAATAGGAGCATCCGCCGCGGAAGTATTAGAAGTTCCGTTTTCCCCGGATTCGCCAACCTATGGGTTTATGAGTAACCCACAATACAACTGCGACATAATGGGCAATAGTAATCTACGTATGACGTATCATTTTTCGCTACAATCTATTCATCGAAGACTTTGAGCAAGGATATGCTTTACAAGACGGAACGCACCGCTGACAGTAAAAGGGTGACTTGTTATCGAGAAGAGCGCCTTGTTTCCTAGTAAGCTAAAAAACGGGGGTATTTTAATTACAAAAAATGACGTATTTGGAATAATTGCTTACAATTGCGAACAGTCGGCCGCAGAGTGGATAAAGTGTTAAATTTCAATGAGTTACAATCTACGAGAAAATCAAGTCTTGATGCTGATATATATTCTGATATACGCGAAAAATTTTCCCACGAAGGATGGAAAGATCACAGGGAAGCCAATCTTGTTGCAGAGAGCGATGGATACATATTCTACTCCAAATCCTACAGTCACTTTTTTCATCAAGATACGTAAAGGGTGATTATAAAGCGTCACACTTTTATTTTTGAAATCTTTTTTAACTCAACAAGGAACGATACTTGGTGACCCCGGCCATTCACAATGGTTTGTATATCAAAAAATGCGCCTTTTAATGATGGTTCGAATACTGTTTTCCATATCTGCGAAACGAGAACCTGGATGGAGGCATATTTATTTTTTCAAAAATGAACTGCGCTACTGCGGAGGGTGAAAATCATTAATAAAAATTTTGCTTTCCTCTTCAAATGCTAAATATGATTTAGATAGGTATAAATATTATACAACGTTACACCTTTCACGATTCTCCTCAGTAGCTTCAAACGGTAAAATAGATCAAACTGGGTGATTTTAACTATCTAAAATTACGCAAATTTTCTACGAAAAAAGTACATAACTGCCTTCATGTGATCGTTTCATAGATTTCAAGCACAGATTTAGAATCAGCATTTCAAGGTGTACCTTATGGTATACATCGCATTCCAAATGGCCGGGGTCACCAAGTATCCTTTCCTTGTAAGTGGACTTTTTGAAAGGTAAAGAAGCTTTGTGCATGTTCCATGGCGGCGATAAGTCTTGCACATACATAATGCGACTCTTCGTGTAATTTTGTTTTGGTATACCCTCACGAACATCTGACAGATTACGAGATGGTTTTGAAGATGAGACAATTGTTGCATACAACGAATACAGATTTGTGGTCCTCAGAGTGCATGGAGATGCTGACAGCAGCATGATTCTGTGAATTCAGGCACGCACATGATACGTAGCACCAGTACTGCTCAAATATTGTAATCCGGACGCGCCCATAGTTTTATTGTTAACAAATGAATATTATAGACAATATTGTATCAATGAGCGCAAAGGACAGACAAATGTACGAGTTTGCGTAATTTAGTTTTTCTTAATCAGACGCTCACGCAGGATTTTCAGTGCCAAATGAGCAGAATGTTGCAGTATGTTTCAACCCAAAAGGTGAAGCATTTGATGTGGGGTAATGATGCCATTTCGCTGGAAGCTTTGCGGGCGCTCAGTGCTGGCAATTTGCCAAGGAAAGAGTGAGGAGAATGAAGGCTTACACAGGTTCTTAGCACGATATGTTATGCTGTAGCTGCGAAACGGAGAGAACCGTAACGAGGAGGACGGCCGCCAATTCAATATCCGCCTAAACTTTGTTGGAACTTATTGTAAGAAGCAACAGGATCCATCATATTGCAAAGCTCAATCTGCATAGGCAGTATGACTTTCCGATCACAGTTATCACTTTCTGTGATGCCATCCGAAGCTAGGCTAATTAGACAATAATTAGCAGTAGTGTAGAAAAAGGCAGCGCATCAAGTAAGCGCCGTAAGCAAATTTTCCGAAATATGCTGCAAAGACTTCCTTCCTTCTATTATGGTGTCTGTGGAAGCCTACCATCAAATCAATGTATCGTCGAGTCATTTGTAACTTAATACGCCCAGAACACACCATACACGCTGACTGACGAACTGCGCACCTAGAACCTGCTCATTTCCAATGATTTTTACTTGTTTCCTTGATTCTTTTGTTTTAGTTGGGCTATATGTTAGTAAGTAGAACACATTTCTACACTTTGTTAGGCTAGAAAATGTTTTAGTGGAAAGTTACTAGTATGGCTGCCGTCGCTAATAGAGCTTAGTGTGCAATCTCACATATTAAGTTACAAATGACTCGAGGTCAAATGCTACAATCAGTACACTGAGTAACCCATTTGAGCAAAATTGCGAAGATAGATATGGGAATAGCCTACCGCACGATATTCGTTGAACAGGTGCTCTAAAGACTTACTTTTGCCAACAGATCTTATTGTTACCTATTGACCGACTAATTTGATTATTCAAAGCCATTGTTCCTTAGTAGCGAGCATTGTAAGTGATCATGTAACATTTTTTCATTCGTGCCATTTTTCAGACCTATCCTCAAATCGTTACTAAGAATAATGATAGGCAAATGATCTAAACAACGTTTGATGCAAAAAATCTTCTTCTTTCTAGTTGTTATGCTTTTTTTCGAAATCTTCCACGATTGCTCGAGTAATCCGTTAATTTCAAATTTGGCTGTTTCTCAGATAGCTTTTCAGTAATCATTTGTGCAAAGATATCAAGTACGCAAAAGCTTCAAAGGCTAATAGATTTTCGGAATTTGAATTTCCCAAAAACCCGGAATTTATCACTGTTCCAAAGCTACTAAGCGTTTGCCGCTTCGGTTATCATAAATCACAATCTCTTGGTACAGTCTGAGACGCTTGCAATGTCAAAGATTAAATAATTTTTCCTGACAGAAAACATCAAAATCGGGGAGGGGAAAACAACTACTAGAAAGAGGAGAGAACGCTGCATCAAATCAGACCCCTATCGCGGGCTCTTTGATCTTATGAGGTTTGGCTTGATTTAAATATAGAATTTGATAGCATCAAAAATAATTTCAAAAATTCTGAAAAGCCAGCTAAATGTCGAAAAATGCATTATATTGCTATTTACTCTATGCAACTATTGTCAAAGCTCTTTCAAAGATGGAATTGAAAAACTCGGAAAATAGCTAAACTAACGACACGTAAAAACTATGGAAGTTTTGACAATTATATGAACGATCATCAAATCAGGAACAAGAATCACAACTAGGAAGAGGGAGATTTTCTGCTTCGAACAGTATTTGGAGCATTTGCCTATCATTACTCTAAACGATTTCAGAATAGGTATGAAAACCTTTTTGGATTATAACTTGTCTAGGGGTTAAAGGCCCGGAACATAATGTATAAATTCGTTTCATTGCCTTTACTTGTAGAAAACAAAGAGCGCTATACCAGTTTAAGCAAGAACAATTAGGTCGTTTCATAAGTTGATGGGGTTTTATTTTTGTCGTCTTTTTCGATGAAGCGATGAACGGTTCACGTCAAGGAGTACACTACTATTCAAAAGAGTCAATATTGCTCTATAAGGATTGCTGTTCGTTTTTGGAGCAACTTAGAGCCTTTTATGACTTCCCAAAGTTTCTTGAAAGGCAAAAATTGGCGATTACAACAACCATTCCTCACTTTGTCCGTATTTCGCAAAATACTATTTTCATATGAAAGCGAGTGGCTCGTAGCAATCGACTAATATACTGACAAATTCGCCGCATGCCAATATGCCAAGAACCGTACAAATAAGGTCTCAGTAGTTGCTGTCTTTGGCTGCTACCGTTTGGGTTTTGCGCTTTGTTTAGCGACAGAATGTGTCGATCCTCCTGTCGGGCCTTGACGAATAGATGGTATTTTGTAGGTGGCGGTTATGTACAAGTACAAGCTCTGTTACTTTTTACGCTTTTCCAATTTTTTGGCAGATAGAATTTTATGAATTCTACCGAGCAAGACTATCACACACATGGAAGAAGCGAGATTTTCATCCACTTCTTAGGAAGATAAATGTTTTTGAATTTGATAGGTGATTCTTAAGGCATCCCCACGGGATCTCCCCTCCCCCCCCCCCCCCCCCCCGGCATCACACAAAAGGGCAAAGAACCAATCTTAGTACTCAGACATGCCTGGAATTCTCATTCTTGCGGTAGGTTTATTGTAAAACTATATCGCAGCGTGTATTGTACAAAAATTGGATAGATCTCGATTTTTACGTAAAGTGATGATTCTTGTGGCCATGCTGTCAATACGAACAATTCTGCAGTCAAAATATAGAGATGATTGAACACATTTCGTTTAAGATACATCATGCAGGGAATATTAGTGTTCAATTCAAAACATTAATCAGATTTTGACGAAAATATATACGTGAAAATTCAAACATGTAGATGTCAGATATGTCCTCAAAAGTACAAACAATGAGTCACAATCTGTAACCTTATGAACACAGCAACGACATTTTCAAAACTCAAGCATGCATGCGCCTTTCATTCTTGCGGTGGGTTTTTTGTAGAGTTTCAATATTTTAGCTATAATTTTCCAGCTCATCTTAGCGGCTACACTCTCGCTGGGAATCGCAAAGAACTGCGATTACTTGGACGACGATTATCGAAAAATGTTTGATAGACAGTTCTACAATTATGGACTTGTAAGTGGACAATCGTCTTGAATGGAATAAAATTTTATTCCAGAAGTACAGGTGTGACCTTGAAAAAGAAGCATATAAATACTTTGTGTACAGAAGAAAACCTCGAAAGAGACATTATCTTATTGAAAGATACGGAGACCTGTAAGTGTTGGCCTTTCGTCTGGAGATCGAAAGTTCTTTTTAGGAAACAGCGTGAGCTAAAACAGCTTGTAGAAAAAATGATTGTCAAGGGTATGATCAAGAAAGTGAGTTTTTACAAATATATCAAATAAAGTGTCACACATTTTTCTTTTAGAGCTCCAAAGCTGGCTGCTATATCGGCGAAGTTTTGAATGGGAAGGAAAAACAAGCAATTATTTGCGTGTTCGCTTCAAATTACTAGGCACAAATTCGAACGGCAACCTGGACATGAAATTCTCAATCATAAATTTTTCAGTGGTTTGGAAGATGCTGTACAGCCATGTCCAAAACTTATCACAATATTACGTTAGGAAAATACTGCTTTGGATTTTGGAGATAAAATTGTAGCGGTAAAGTGGGAATATTATGAGTTTGCTTAGGCGGATATAGTCGCCCTCTCCCCACTAGTCGGTCGGTGGACGAATTCAAATTTGAATTGGAGCAGGCCTGTCATGGCAGAGCGCGGCAGGAGACAACGCTCAGCAGTTACAAAAACTCAATATAGGTCAAAAACGTTGTAAAAATACAAATACTGCTAAGCAAAGGCGAAGAAATACGCAAAGTGAATGCGTGAATTTGAACGGAGAGCTAAGGTGCCGTGCTCTGCCGCGACCTGCCTGCTCCAGTTCGAATTCGAATTCGTCCACCGACCGACTAGTGGGGTGAGGACGACTATACACCCAGTATTTCGCCTTGCATGTTTTTGTCATCCTAGGGCTTTTCCGTGACCCTGATCACAATTATGAAACTCAAATTCTCTAACCCCCCCCTCCAAAACCCCCCCCCCCCCCCATTCCCGAGGACCCTTCCTTGTGAGGGCGGACTAGTTTCAAATTGCTTGATCCCGTCTGTGTACCAGCGAGGAGCAGCTGCAATTGCATGATAGCCTGCAGTTGCATCTGCAACTGCAGCGTACGCTGTCGTGGGTTCGTCCGAAGTAGGCGGACCGCAAAAAGCAACTGCACGACAGCCTGCACTTGCAACTGCAACTGCAACTGCAACTTACGCTGTGCAGATTTGTCCGAAAAAGAAGGACCGCAAAAAAGGGCGGAACGCAGAAAGGAGCAGACGTTTTCTCCCCTCAGAAGCAACATTGGGAAACCGGACCAACGCAGTTGGTCTTCTTTTGGGCCCTAAATATACACCGTATAGAGAACTGCGTAGCATAGATTCTGGGTGTACACTGCCTCTGAAGCGCTCTCAAGCTTTAAAATAGTTGATGCTACTCTCTGCGCGTGCAATATATGCTTAGTGTATCACGTATAATATTCGGAGATTGCAGTTCTGAATTCAACTTTTGTTCATAACTATAACCTTTGATTCAACGGTTTGCTTAAAAAATGCGGGGCTTTGTGGCCACTGGCCAGACTAAGGCCGCTCGCGCCCGCGACACACCTGCCTCTCTCTCGCGCGAGTGCTCTCTGATCATTACTTAGCCTTAATTGGGTCACGAAGCCCCGCCTTCCTGAAGCCAAGCCAGTTGAATCAAATGGAATACCGCCGGAATATCACAGTTTGTAAAAACTATCGGACTATCGCAGAAGTTTGACATTTGTCTTTTGGCCACATCTTGCTTCAGGAGGGACGAAAAGATAGCTTGCAAATTGGGAAGTTCAAAGGCAAAAGCGTGAGCTAAACTTGTCTCTTCAAGACATAATCAAATACAAAGTGAGAACCGGGCATTAAAATATCAACCGGAGTAAACATGTTCTAATATTTTACAGTTCAGCTGGCTGCTATATCCAAGAATTGAGCTGCGGTATATGTCCACATAAATTAGATTACGGTAGCGGGTGCAACCGGCTTTACACAAATGTTCTTAAATCTACATATTCATTTGACATACTAACATATGAGCGAGAGCTAGCAATGCATGGCTTTCTCCATTTAAAGTTATAAAAGCTACAGTCGAAGCAGTGCTTACAGGCGTTTTTCATATTCCTAATGCTAAGAAAATTTAGCCTTAGCTATTGCTTGCGATCGATCACAACCATTTCATACTAATGAAGATACGGCTCATCTTTCGCGCTCCTTGTCGCTGTAGACCTCATTTATCTTCTGTTTGATAGACCGTTTCGAAGTTTGGAAAAGATTTGTTTGAGTTCTCGGGATAACGGCATTTTTATAAGTATTTTTTCCATCCAGTTTAGCCCGAGTTGTCGGTTCTGCAGATAATTCTGATTATGTAGTTTGCACCCATTGATAAGACACACTTTGCAATTTCAGCCCTTACTGATTCCTTTAGCTTTCGGTGCTCTTTGCTTATGATGGTTTGCTTTTCAATCTTATATACAGGGTGTATCAAAAGTAAGTACACACTTTTCAATCGTTAATATCCCTCTTCCCAATGGGTCTTTTCTTGCCGGTCAAGTACCATTCTGTAGAGGAGGCTTCAACTTAGATCTGCAGTACCGATCAAATCACCGATCGCTCTTCATTAGTGTATGATTACGGTAAGAACTTCCAGCATGTGGCATTATGAAATATGCCATCTGACAAAATTTTTTTCAAAAAATCAGAAAAATCGTGTGCCAGGGTTTTCGCGCCCACTGATTTCACTACACAACTTTTTGCGAGTGTTTTCAGCGTTTTTGACGGTGTTATCACATTTTTGACAAACACCGGGAATTCGGTTACTACGGTTTACCTGGGATAACTTTGGAAAGAAGCATCACAGTAAAGTGAAAATTTTATATTTGTTATCAGCCGCTTTTATTACCATGGCATAAAAGTTTTTGGCTAATTTGGTTATGTTTCATGGCAGAATGTGGCTTCCAATGACCTAAAATCCTTTTCGAAGTTCCTACAGTAGTCCTACAGTAATGAAGAGAGATCGGTGATCCTTTCGACACTGTTAATCTAAGTTAAAGCTTCCTCTGCAGTATGGTACTTGAATGGCGGAAAAAGACACAATGCGAAGAGAGATATTAACGATTGAAAAGTGTGTACTGTGTACTTACTTTTGGGACACCCTGTATAAAGCTGAATGTCTGTTTGTATGTATGTATGTCTGTCTGTCTGTATGTCTGTACGTATGTTCCGAATAGAAAATTCCATTTCTGAACCGATCCGGACCAAACTTGGCACACATACACTATGGGCCCCGGCGGGTGTCATAGGCTACTTTTCGTCATCGATCGATATCGATTTTATCGATTTTTATCGATTTTTTGCTGAGTTCACCTACGGGGCTGGGAGTTGGCACAGGGGGGTAATCGAGCATGGGGATTCCGAATACAATATTGGTTTTCGGGATTATCGATTACTTTTATCGATTTTATCGATTTTTTTGCAAAGTTTGAGCTAGGGGGCTGGGAGTTGGCACAGGGGGGTAATCGAGCATGCTGGTCATCCCCAAGGGGGGTGATCAGCATGCTCGATTAAACCCCTGTGCCAAATTCCAGCCCCCTAGCTCAAATTTTCAAAAATCGATAAAATCGATAAAAGTAATGGACGATCTTGAAAACTAATATTGTATTCGGAATCCCCATGCTCACTTCCCCCCCCCCCTGTGCCAACTCCTAGCCCTGTAGGTGAACTCTGCAAAAAAATCGATAAAAATCGGTAAAATCGACATCGATCGATAACGAAAAGTGGACTGTGACACCCGCTGGGGCCCGAAGTGTATGTGTGCCAAGTTTGGTCCGGATACGGCGGAGCCGGGTAAGCCAGCTAGTTATGGCTATAAATTATGGCTTTGACGTCTTTCGTGTGTCTCCTTAAGTTACGTCATACTTGTAATTTCGGTCTACTCTCTTCTAGTTACTAACCAGTCTCTCATCAACATCTTAGTCCGAGTCTTTTTCGCTCAGCTATCCAGTATTCAATCGTACAGCTTGCTGGTTCAACAGAGTGATCTGAATGTGAATCTTTTCACCTTTGGGGTCATTGGGCCTCCCTAGCATTCCGGCTAGGCGGGATGGTTATTATACCTGTGCCAGTAGACTCGCCTGATAATCTGTCGGTCTGCTTTTAAGATTCAATACAAAGATCGTTCCGCTGGCAACGAGGGAGCATGGGTCCCATCTCCTTGGAGTTATAACTTTTGGAGTTATGAGTATCAATGCCTATCAATGCCTACATATTTATACATATCTAGCTATTAGCCTATCAACATATTCAGTGCAAGCCGTTTCATCTTTCTTACATTAGTCTGACTAGGATTAGACTCGGATTGATATGATGATGTCTGCATTCGTTTATTGCTTATTCCGCTGTATTACTAACTTCTCGATTTGTGTTTTGTGTTTTCTTCTTTTGTATTGGAACGCCTTGAGCGTACAAATGAAAAATGAAAAATGAAATGAAAATGACCTTACCGTCATTTTTCTACATTGTGGATAAATCAACACTTTATACGAATCAGCAAGTTTAGGGGCAACTATCACTTGACTTTTGAGATGTTCATTGCAATTCCTATGCATCTTGCATTGTTCAATAGTCCGAAGTTTGCGCGGGCTTTGCTTTTCAACATTCAGCGCTAGCTGAACGCTCGCTGTTTTGTTCGTTGCTGAGTTGTTATTATCACAAAAAGAAAAGTGAAGGAGGCTCAATAAGGTTGTTCTGGAAGTGAAAAGCTAGTGAAAGTAGACGCTTGATTATATGAAAATGCCAGAATATCTTGCGGTTCACCCACTTCACAATACCGCTTGTCAAAAAATCACGATTTCCCCTGAAGCGTACCAAAACTCGCGTCATAGCATATTCAAAATGGATGAATTCTGAGGACGTCGTTCTACTCAGGCGAGATTTATTGTATACAGGGTGTCCCAAAAAAGTGTGACCATTGTTTGATTGTTAATAACTCCCTTGCTTTCATGTCTTTCGCCGAGCTTGAGGCACTATTCTATAGAGCGAGGTTTAGCTTAGATCCACAGGATGGAGCAATTGTCGATCGCTCTTCATTACTGTAGGATTACGGTAGGAACTTCGACAAGGATTTCAGGCCATAGGAGGCCATAATCTCCTCGAACAAAACCAAACAAGCCAAAAACTTTTATACTGAGGTAATGGAAGCCGCTAAGCTCGAATATGAAATTTTCACTTTACGGATGCTTTTTTCCAAGGTTATCCCAGCTAAAACGTAATAATGAATTTCCGGCATTTGTGAGAAATGTCCCTACACCGTCAAAAAAGCTAAAAACACTCGTAAAAAGTTGTGTAATGGAATCAGGTGCGCGAAAACCCCAGTACACAATTTTT